TATATAAAATAAATAAATACACAATTACCATTCATTTCTATGTGCATAAACCTTGGAAAATGTCATATCGTGTTGTCTGTAGCTGAATTATCGTGCATAAGTGCGCTGACATTTTCTGGCTCCACCAAGGCCAACATATTACTATTCCAATTCTGTATTTGTTTATTGCTCCTGTATTGTTTAGATATCAGGGTTTCCATTGGAAAATTAGCTCCTGTCTCAGCCCACCCATAGAGTTGGCATTTAAAAAAAAAAATTAATTCACAAATCCTGAAAAAAACTAAATTCACTATTTCCACAAAAATATCAAGCGGAACAACCATTTTAAACATAATAAGAAGAAATGTTTCTTGAGGGCCAAATCAGCATATTAAAAAGATTTCTGAAGGATGTGACACTGAAGACTAGAGTAATGCCTGCTGAAAGGATTCACAGGCAATGCACAGAATAATAAATTATGTACCTTAAATGCACTTTAAGTTATTTAGATAAAAACATCTGCCAAATGTGTAAATGTAATGCATTTAGCGACCAATCATTCCTCACAGTGTGTCAAAATCACCCTGTTATAGCCAGGCAGAGAAAATACCCCAGAGTGATGTGTTTTAATTGCTCTGTTAAATATGTCAGCACACTCATCAGAAAGCAAAGCCGACTGCATTTGGCACTTACAGTTGTCTCTCATACTTTGTAAATGCGCCTGAGCAGAAATCGTCAGCTGCTTTGCAAACTTTGGTTATTTAAACAAGCTTAGAGCGAGCTCATCCAAAGCCCATGATGGAAATGCTACAAGCATTTTTGATTAGCTTGGCACAGACTCAAACATGTATGTATGTTTCTTGAGAAATAGACTGGTCTAATTCTTCAGAACAGCTCAAGAGAATGAGATTCAGAATGATAAATAGAACAGTTTGAAGGCTATAATGTGTGACATTGATGATTGAGGCATGAGATATGGGAAGAATGCACATTCAGAAGGTCTGATCAGAGCATTAATTAGTCATCTCAGTAGTGGTTTTCTACCAGAGCGTGAAGGAGGGCTATATATAT